ACGTACATTGGAAACTAATAAATTTCGGTGTTCTTCCTCTCTTTTTCTCTTGAGTTCTTCAGTTTCGTGAACGAGATTCTCCGGAGTTCATTCGGATGTTGGAAATTTCTTGGATTCGATTTCTTAGATGTTCTTAGTTCTTTTATGATGTTATTTTCGATATTTTTATGTCCTCCGTTGAATTATTTAACGGGACAGTTACAGAAGGAGTGTCTGCAGTCGATGAGGCGACTTTCGATCTTCCAATTATATTAGATTATCGACAGAGGACAGCAATTCCTTTCCAAGATCGACCATGATTAATCGCGTATCGATCGCATAGTATCGGTACTAATTCTTAAAGTCGTATTACATACCTCGTACACATAGCATCCGGCCATTCACTATTATAAATATCCGCATGAAATTCATATCGCTGGAGGGATGATTAATTCGGTCAATAGGGAGCCGGCTTTTGATATCGAATCGGTAAAATCTTCAAACCGATGTCCCATATTTCAATTTATATCGTCCAATTCGATTAAATTGTCTTTCTGAAGAGAAAGTATGGTAGAATAAAATAAAAGTGGAAAATTTTAGCAATATTACCGTAAACCATTCAAGGATCGACACGCACGAATTATTGTGCACGCTCGAGTAACGAGTACAGCACAAGAAATTCCTTCGTTGATCCAAAGATGGAAGAAGATTCGAGGGGGATAAGGAGGAAATACGATATAAATCTTTGTCAACGCGATTCGGTTCACGGTCGATGGAAACGTCCCGAGTACAAGAGCCTATGGCTCGTGGTTTACACAATTTCCTCGATATTCGAGCAGTCTGTTCTACTTGGCACCCCATGGCCAGAAGATCAGAACGGATTCCGGACATCAGCGTCCGATCCGCTCCTCGTCCTTTGTCGAGGATAGGTATCAAGGATGGTTAATTGGTTGGCCGGATAGGGTACAGGGCCAATTGACCGTTTAATTAGAGTAGCGCAGGGTATCGATGGGATTTTCGGTTGCTCGGCCATTAATCGATGATCTCCGTTCATTCGACGCTGCCTCTCGTCGAATCTTGATCGTTGAGAATTTCTATTCGGGTCGAAGGACAGAGAAAACTTGCATCTCTTTCTCTCTCTTTCGTGCATTCGGTCGAACACGAACAATTTCATTTCGAGCTAAATTCTCCCTTTTCCCCTTTTTCTTTCTCTTCGCAGTAAACGTAACGTCTTTGCTCGTCTTTGTCAACGTTGGCGTGCGATTTACAAAAGTAGTAAAGACAGTAATAAGTTTCAGTCGTTATTTTCTATCCCACCCTATCCCTCTTTCCTGTAGAGATCCCGATGCACCGATATGTGTCGCCTCGGCATGAAGATTCATAGGCGACTTCGAGATTTTTTTAAATATATATATATATAGCGCGCTTGGTGCAACATGGCGCTGAAGTTAGCAGGGAGTTTAATACCTAACGACTCCCCAAGCTACCGTTTATACGGCTCCAAATTTCATCTCTTCCTCTTTCTTTTCCTCTTTCCTTTCCTTATCCCCTCCTGTTCCTCACCTTTAACCTCGTCTTCCTACGATATTATTAAATTTTCTCGGTGAATTGAAGCAGGAAAATTCATTTTCTGTCCTTGTGTTATTAAAAAAAAGAAAAGAAGAGGAGGAAAGGGAGGAAAAGCTCGTGCCAAGCCTATCTCTCGCGACAAGGAGGATCGGATTAAAAAAATCCAATCGAACGTATATTCGGGATTTCATTAGTTGAAAGAAGTTTGAAATCGTTAATAAATGAAATGAATTATTTATATTCCCCGGGAATTTCTAGAGGCGGCAATTATCTTCTGGCTTCGAAATTTTCTCATTGGAGGAGAGGAAATGTAAATGTTGCGAAGCTGAAACAACCTTTCCCCTTCCCCATTTTGCGCGCCCTCGCAATCGCGAAAGTGTTCGCCTCCCAAGTTTGAATATCGATCGGTTTAATCACTTCCAAAACATTTCGAAAGTACGAAGGCGAGTATCGCTCGAAGAAGGGAGGGGATCGACTTCTGGAACGCGTAGGATACGGGACAATTTCCAAGAGTTTCTCCGACCTGTACCAGTCGGAGTGGCACTTGCTCAACTTTTCGCGCTTGTAGATCATTTGTGATTCTGTAGTCGTAACGCGAACTCCGCTGCTGACAATAGACAGCAGACTTTCGCATTAACAAATCGATTTTGCCGAGTCGAGGGAAAAGTTGAACCGACCGGTTTGATCGGTTCTCTCTCTCTCTGAGAACACCGACTCTTTGAATCGACTCCGAGAAATCGATGGACGATTGAAAGAAGAAGAAGAAGAAGAAAAGAGGTAGAAAAAAATTGGGAATATCGTTGAAGAGAAATTAAGAGAGGATCGATGAAAGGATATTTATTTCCACGCGGAAAACGATGAGTAAAATCGATGGACGAATTAGCGGTGTAATGGTCGCACGATAATTGGAGGCGATAAACCTTCCCCTTGTTCCCCGCGGAGGATCGTTGGAACAACTAGCACAGATTGCTGCTGCCCCTTAATAATTTTCTTTAATCACTGCATTCTATATTTAATTCGTGGCGTCTGATAGCAGCGTGATCTACAGTTCTTTGGTAAGCTCGGTAGGCTAGCTTAGCGGACCACTTATGGCTGATTTATACGATCCATTACCACTACCAGCAGTGACCCAATAAGCCCGTCCTCGCCAGCCTCTGGCGAACCGGATCGGCGACGCTCTTAAAGGCTCGCAAGGCCCTACGTCGTTGGCCTTAAACCGTCCTCGTGCGCGAATCTTATTAAGGTCAATGACGGTACTCCCTCCCGTGACGTCAGGATCAATTATTAGAAATTATTGACGCGAGCGTTATCGAGCCTTGATTCCATCCGTGATTTTCCACGAGTAAAGTATCGAATGAACCTTGGACGCAACGCGAGTGTCTTATTGCGCGATCAACTATTTTACTTCAGTACATTTTTTCTTCGTGTTAGAGGGAGAAAAAGTATTCTCCTCGAATATATAGCTTTCGATTTTTCAAGTGCAATTCGTTTTCATCGGAAACAAAACTGTTCAACCATTAATAACGCGACAACGGTAAAAGCGCATCGGCTTGGCGATGAATCGCGACGAATCGCGAGTATTTTAAAATCCCTTCTCGCGAGACAAGTTGAAAGCGGCGAAGAGATTCCGGAAGATTAGCCGAGAAAACGGGGGAAATTCGGTGGTTCCTGAAGATCGAAAATCAACAATCAAGATCGAACAAGGAGGGTCGGAAGGGGGTGGATAGTTCTCTTGGAGGATGGTACTCGAGGGCAGAAATGGAAGTCGTCGTGTCGCAAGAATGAAGTCGAAAAGCGGAAACGGGACGAGGGGAAAAAATGAGCGGAGGAACGACGAGTGGAAGAACGATGAAAAGTTTAGGGCGGACCGGATTCGAGTGCCCTTCGAGCTAGATTACGAAGATATCGAGAATAGAGCTCGAGACGAAAGGGTGGAAGGGGTGGACTCTGGATGATGTGCAATTAGGAAAATTGAATTCCGGCGTAATTAACTTTCTTAATTAATAGAATCGTGGAATTGTATCTTTAATCTGGCCGCTGGAAGTGGTTCTGGCAGCTTCTGTCATCGAACGAGAGAAAGAGAGAGGAGAGAGTGTGGCTTGGCTCCGACTTGGGATGAAACCAAGAACTGACGAGGAAGGAATGGAAGGGTAAGAAGGAGATACACAGAGAGAGAGAGAGAGAGAGAGAAGGAAGATTGACGAATGAGAACGAAACGGTGGGAAGAGGAAGAAGCAAGATATAAGATAGGATTGTTGCAGAAGTGGCGACGATTGCGAGATACTCTGGGATGGGAAGTCGCTGTAAGTTTTGATATATGCGCGACGTTATTTACGATCGCATAAGAATTAGCCCAGACAGCAAGCCGGTCTTCCAGCAAAAACCGACTTTATGTCACTGACTGCCACTGCGATTTTTGCTCTCCTTTTTTCCCTTCCGGAAAAGTCGTTAAATCTCGCGTCTCGACGCATTCGACGAAATCAAATCAGCCAAATCAACGTTTCTTGTGTCCGCAATTGTATCGATGGGAACTCGACCAAAGCTAATCTCCCCTCCCCTGCATTATTCCGTCTTCCGATGGAAATATCCGTCTCTCGCACTTTTCCAACGAAGGAAACCGCGATAAAACGCGGTATTTCCCGTAAACATTCGTCTCGGTTCAGAGATTCGATTTGGAGATTGGATGGCGGCCGTGACTGGATTGTCAACGAATCGCTGCGATCGCGTGAAAAATTAACGGGGGATCGTTTCGGGGGAAACGTGGCGGGGCGGCTACGTTCGTTAGAAGGCCGATGGAAAGTCATTTTTCTCCCTCCATCCCTCCCTTTACCGGAAACGGCAGATTAATTAATCACGTCAGCGCCGATTTCGCTCGACCACCGGATCGATTAATAAAACCGTGGCAACCGTTCGTTATTTAAGTTAACTTTGGCGGGCGGCGGTTAATTACGCCGGATCGTCGAATTCCGCATATTTTCAACGTCCACCCGCAAGTTTGCACGCGCGACGCAACGTAAAATTCGTTTCGATGGCCGCCTTTAATCCCGATGGCCGATGGAGGATGGTCGGTCTGAATTCGCGATGAGACGCGTAAATTCATAATCCGTAAAATGATACAGCGATTCGGCCAACTTCTGATTTATGATCCCGACCCAGGATGCATTTTACCCTCCCACCGGAGGGGGAGGGTAATGATGATGCACCGTCGTCGATTCTGACAGTTGGAAAATATTGTCGAAGATGTATCGCCCGTTCTCTGTTTATCGATCGAAAGGAAAACAATCAATTCTCGCCGTTCGTTTCCCGTTAACCTCTCGCGGAATTATAAATAAAGCGTACAAGCGAAAGTCGTGTACGTGTAATCAGTGTGTCGTGGAACGTCGAAGCGAGCGGTAGGAAAGTGGGAAAGTAAACACAGCGAGGAATGACGCTGCGTAGTAATATTCATAGAATTTTTTGGAATTTCCCAGCGAACGATAACAAATCCATCGTATTTTCGTATTGTTTTCGCACCGGTAAGTCCGTTTGCACCATTTTATAAATTAATCAATCGCTTTTGCGAATCGCGTAATAATTGTTTTCTTGCAAGTCGAGTGTTTACGTGTCTCGTTATCGTATCGTATCCCGGCCGACCTCGAACCGGAGAATTTTATTCGAGAATCCACGCAACGCGTCTCAAAACGCGCCGCGTTTCCGATTATTATTTATATCGGATGATATTTGCCTCGATGAGAGCTCGTAAAAATCATCTCGAAACACCGTGACCGTTTAATTCCAGTTGAGCGGTAATTCTTTTCGAAAGCAGCTACCACTCGACCCCATCGTACACCCATAAACCGTGTGAACTCTGGTTATTTGAAAAATATCGTTGATCGTGAATCGTCGAAATGCTGCTGATTTATCAACGCGTGATCGATAACGTGTGTGCAATTTATACAAGAGGCGGGGAATATTGGCCGGTGTAATGAACGGCGCGGAGATCTCGTTCGTTTTTCATTTAGTAACGAAACGAGTTATTATCTCCATATTTTGTACGGCAATTGACCGATTTGTTCCGCGCTTTTTTTCTTTTTTTTCTTCCACCGAGTTTGAAAAGTAAACACGTTTCAACGAAAACTCTTAAACCTGTTCGACGCACGTCCATCCAGACGGTAGATGAAATAGGTAAAATCAGAGGGGACGAGGGGGCGATGGAGAGGAAGAAGCCGGTGGAAACCTATAAACCGCGCAATAATATAAATTCGCAATCTGTGAAACTACGAAACGAGGCGGGCTAAAGTTGTGATTTACGACGCGTTCCGTCTCGTCCCCGGGAACACCGGGGACAAAGGGAAAGCAGCGGTAGCTCGGATTGTTACGTGTGTACGTGGCGTGGGAGCCATGGTGAGTGGTGGGCGTCGTCGGGGTCGGTCAGGAAAAATGCGACGTCG